ATGGCCCATGTGCTTGGGCCCCTGCCACCCACATGGGCGACCCAGAGGGAGCTCCTGGCTCCTGGCTTTGGCCCAGCCCAGCCCAGCCCCGGCTGTTGCGGCCATTTGGGGAGTGAACCAACTCTCTCTCTCTCTCTCTCTGTCTTTCCCTCTCTCCATGTAACGCTTTCAAATAAATAAATAAATCCAACAACAGAGAGAACAGGTCATCCACTACTTTCTTTGTCCAAAGAAACCACTTTAGTCTTGTAACAAGTTTTTCGTTTAAATTTTTAATTTGGCTACAATAGGAATAAATACTCATTGTAGAAAATTTGCAACGACAATTCAAATCACCAAAATCCCAACACCCAGACACAGTTACTTCTGCACGTCAGGACATTCCGACAGCATGTGTTACAGAGGAAAAGTAAATTGCAAGAATATTTTTAAAATCCTGCTCCCCACAGGGTAGACTGTATTATGTTCAAAGTATGTGAGCCCCACCCTGGGAGGGCTGATACTTCCCTGCCTCGTTGCCTCAGCCTGAGGGGCCGCCCCTGTGGGGGATTCCAAACCCCACCCTGCGTGCGGGCCTCGAGGGTGACACAGGGACAACAGGGACAGGTGCCACTTCTAATCAGAAGCCTAGGATACCAGGAGGCCCTGACATTCTCTCCCTCTTCCAGGAAATCCGCACTACTCCCGATGGACACTACGGCGCCACTTCGGACCCAGAGTACGGAGAACCTGGGCCGACCCAGCGCGAGAACTCTGGTTCTTGGAGGCGTAGAGATGGGGGTGCTGTTGCCACAGCAGCGTAACTTACCCTGACAGCGATGCACCCCTCCACGTGTGAAGTGCGCTTCTCCCGTGTGTGCTGCAACATGCTGAGCCTTGGGATAAACATTTGCTTGAGTTTCAACTTAGGTTTCATGTGCTCATATAAATGAAGTATTCTGAATCTTAATTTTGAAGCCTTTAAATTGATGTTACCGTACTTAAAAACTGATCAATTTTGTATTAATCTTTTGTACTAGTTAATGAATTAGTGTTCTGTATTAGTCTATTTTTTGATTCATGCAAAATTGGCTTGTGGATGTAAGTGCACTAAAATATTTATCAAACTCAACATTATCTAATTTTAATTAATTTTTCTCAAGCCTCCAAGAATCAACAAAGCAGACAGACTTCTGTGGAGACAGTGTTGCTGAACAGAGAGCACACACTCACCCTACAATGCTTCCTGAACGCTACAAACTTTACTACATCTTACTGACACCCACAACACACTAAAGCTCCGTCGAATAAATTATAATACACTGTCAACAGTGATTCCAAAGTGAATTATCTGTATCTTGTGAACTGTTTACTGATATTTTGCACTTGACCCACTGAGTCCCCTACTCACTTTACAAAGTAGGAAAGTGTGCACAGAACACCAAAACAATTGTAAAACTCACGTCAAGACGAAGCCCACACCTCCACGGGGCTCCGGGTCAGCAAGGCCTTTGGGAGCAGTGTGTCCTCCTGTACTAAGACGATGCACACTCACCTCAGTGTGTCCTGCTTCAGAACACTGTCCTTCCCAGGGAGCCCTGGGGCCTTGCTCAGGCTCAGGCTGGAACGCAGAGGACAGACGTCTGCACAGTCCTGCAGGGACCACGGGCAGAGCCGGAGCCGAGGCCACTCCCCAAGCAGGGAGGAGAAGCGGCCAGGAGGGGGCGCTGCCGTGAGGGCACATGGCAGGTGGGCCAGTCTCTGGTTGCTGGGGCACCAGGATCCCACAGTAGCGTGTCTTTAAAAGTCATTTTTTAAAATGTGTTTCTTGTTTAGAGATTTATTTATTTGAACGGCAGAGTTGCACAGAGAGGGAGAAATAGAAGTCTTCCGTCCCTTGGTTCACTCTCCAAATGGCCAGGAGTTTCATCTGAGTCTCCCACATGGATACAGGAGCCCAAGGATTTGGACGATCCTCTGCTGCTTTCCCAGGCAATAAGCAGAGAGCTGGATAGGAAGTGGAGCAGCCAGGACTTGAACCAGCAGCCATATGGGATGCCGGTGATGCAGGCTGTGGCTTTAACTCATTGAGACATGGCACCAGGTTTTTAAAATTATTTCCCATTCGGGGCCAGTGCTGTGGCACAGTGGTTTAAAGTCCTGGCCTGAAGCACTGGCATCCCATATGGGTGCTGGCTTGAGTCCTGGCTGCTGCTCTTCCGATCCAGCCCTCTGCTATGACCTGGGAAAGCAGAAGATGACCCAAGTCCTTGGGCCCCTGTACCCACGTGGGAGACCCAGAAGAAGCTCCTGGCTCCTGGCTTTGTATCGGCGCAGCTCTGGACATTGTGGCCATTTGGGGAGTGAACCAGCAGATGGAAGATTTCTATCTCTGTCTCGACCTTGCTCTGTAACTCAGTCTTTCAAATAAAATAAATCTTAAAAAATTATTTCCCATTTAACACTTACGGAACACATTCAATAAATCATGTTTCTTCAGACTATATTGGCTATGCACTATTCCCATGAGTAGATGTGCTGGATGAACTTTAATCATGATTGTTTTCATAAACACATCTATTCATAGCATACTCATGCACCTTCCCACCTGTAATTACCTGCTACCGGTAACCGCCTAGGGAAATTCCTTACATCGGAGTTGCTAGGTCAAAAATTGTGCTAATGTGCAAGGGGCTTGATACATCTTTGTGAGCATCTTGGGCACTTAGTCACACTCACAGCACACCCAGACGCTGCCCTCGGGCAGGTGCTGGCGCAGCAGGTTCAGCCAGCTTGGGACGCCCACATTCCGGATGAGTGCCGCCCACTGTGCTTGGGATCCAGCTTCCTGCTAACTACAAGTTCATGGGCAGGGGATGATGGCAAGTCCCCTCCTGGAGACCCGGATGCAGTTTAAGGCTCCTGGATTCCACCTGACCCTGGCATGGCTGTTTTAGGCATCTGGGGACAACCAGCGAATCAGGTCTCTCTCTGTTACTCTGCTGTTCAAATAAAATAATATTTAACAAAAAAAATGCCCTTTCTTTTTTTTAAAGATTTTATTTATTTGAGAGGCAGAGTTACAAACAGTGAGAGGGAGAGACAGAGAGAGAGGTCTTCCATCAGCTGGTTTACTCCCCAAATGGTCACAATGGCCAGAGCTGGGCTGATCCAAAGCCAGGAGCCTGGTCTCCCACGTGGGTGTAGGGGCCCACGGACTTGGGCCATCCTCTACTGCTTTCCTAGGCCACAGCAGAGCTGCACCGGAAGTGGAGCAGCTGGGACTCGAACTGGTACTTATATGGGACTGCAGGTGGCAGCTTTACCTGCTATGCCATAGCACCGGACCCCAAAATGCCATTTTCAACATCATTTTTAGCACTGTTAAAAAGTCTTGCCAATTTGGTAGGTAGGACACTTGTTTGATTTCTAATGAGGCTGAGCTGTTTTCATGTAAGCGATACTCTGGCATTAGGGCACATTTTCTTCATCTGTAAAGTCTTTATTTATTTTTTTTTTTTGACAGGCAGAGTGGACAGTGAGAGAAAGAGACAGAGAGAAAGGTCTTCCTTTGCCGTTGGTTCACCCTCCAATGGCCGCCGCGGCCGGCACACCGCGCTGATCCGATGGCAGGAGCCAGGTACTTATCCTGGTCTCCCATGGGGTGCAGGGCCCAAGCACCTGGGCCATCCTCCACTGCACTCCCGGGTCACAGCAGAGAGCTGGCCTGAAAGAGGGGCAACCAGGACAGAATCCGGCGCCCCGACCGGGACTAGAACCTGGTGAGCCGGCGCCGCTAGGCGGAGGATTAGCCTAGTGAGCCGCAGAGCCGGCCAAGTCTTTCAAAGGCAGCAGCACTTGGTCAGGATGCTCAGTTTCCTGACTTGTGATGCTGATGTCATTCCTTACTTTGGATACAGTCTCCTCCTGCTGCCTGCTGGGAAGGGAGTGGTCCATCCCCTGCCCAGCCCCCACCCACAAAGCAGCAGGCGTCTCCAGCCTTGTCTTCCACCAGTGCCAGCCACAGGTCCTTTGGCCCATTCATTCATTTATTCCTTCATTCCAGCACTATTGACTGAGCCGCTGAGATGCGCCAGGCACCACCCTGGATGCGGGGGCCATGCTGTGAAGAGAAAACTGCCGGTCCTTGGGAGCTCAGGCTTAGCATCGGAGGGAGACAACCTGACCAATGAGGACACGTACAGCAAGTGGACAGCGCTGAGGCCAGGAAAACCAACAGAGCGGAGGGGGAGGGAAGGGCCAGGGCAGCTCACCCCGGGGGGCGGGACTGCGGCACGGTGGGCCAGCTCCCACTTGCTATGCTGGCTTCCCATCTCGGAGTGCCCGTCTGAGTTCTGGCTAATCCACTCCAGATTCCTGCTAATGCGCCTGGGAGACCTGGGATCCCTGCTGCCCACGCGGGAGACCGGGTGGATTTTTTGGCTCCTGGCTTCAGCAGAACATAGAATGGGAGATGTCGGTCTCCTTGCCTTACAACCTTAAAACAAGAGGTCACAGTGGAGGAGACAGGGGAGGACGGACAGAGCTTGGGTCGAGGGCCTCTCCCACGGAGAGGCTGGGCAGGGCACACATCACAGCTGCGAGGCACCCGGAGCAGGCGCAGAGGAGGGCCCGGGTCTGAGACAGGCGAGGTGGGGAAGGGGTCACGCAGGCTTCGCAGGTGTGTGGTCACGTGTGTCCCCAGTGGCTGCTCCGGATCCGTCGCACCACACGGGGCGAGGTGAACGCACACACTTGCAGTGGGCAGGAGGAGGGACCTGGGGTCTGCAGCCGACAGGGGGTGACCCGGTAGAAGGTGCCGGGAGAGCGGGAACTACGTGTTGGCACCTCAGCTTGACTCTGCCACGCCAGAACAACACACTGTACACCAAAAACACACACAGCTGTTATGTACCAGTTAAAAAAAAATCAGCGTAGACGCTCTGACGCTGAAGAGGGAGTGGACCAACGTGAGAAGCAGGAGACGTCGCTAAGTGTGTCTCAGGGAAGGAGGAAGCACCGGGGTGTTAACATTCTATTTTATTAAAGTACGGAGTTAACAAGTCTTGAGTTTTCGTACATAGGAAAAGACTGGTCAAGTTCAGGCGCTGTGTAGAAAATCTCGCATTCAAAAAACAAACATAAATGCGGAATCAGCTCCGTGGTAAAGGAATGAAGTCAGAGGACGTACGTCTAAGCAGACTGGAGACCTTCAGGAATTTCAGACAGCACTCACAGTGCCAGGTTCAAGTTCTAATACAGCAAAGCCTAACCATGGAAGCCAGCAACATCACGAACATGAACAAAGTCACGACTATAAAACTCTCATAGTTGTTTTCGCAATGTAAAAAAAGCTTAAATCTTTAATAAAGGGGGAAAAATCCAGAATCCTCTTAAACCTCTCATAAATAGCTCTCAAGACATATATTAGGCATCTGCCATAAGCTCTCTCTCCCTGAGTGTGCCCCGGGACCCCGCAGCCCGAGGGACCGCCTTCAAGGTCACTCCACCGTTCTCACCCCAGCGCAGGCCACACCCACAGTGGATCTGGACACACGCGTTCTTCTGCCCTTTCCCACTCACATTTTCTCTGAAAGGATTTTGCTTTAAAAAAAAAAAAAACACTCTTTGGTTAAAGCCAGCTATTTTCCACCTTTCAATAACTGTGTCTGCTGATGCTCTACTGCGGGGACAGAGACCCACCCGCGTGTGGGCACGGCTCTCCCACCTGCAAGGTCACCGGCCCCAGGGGGCGGGGCGTCCCCCGGCAGCACATTCGCCAGCAGGTCATGGGCAATCTCCCGGAAGAGAGCGCACCAAGAGCTAAGGGTGCTGAGGGGGCCCAGCGCTGGCCTGGCCCGCTCCCCTCCAGGAGGGGTAGCACACAGGTGCACATCGGAGCGAGTTCCCACTCAGGCCATGCAGAGAGACAGGAGCGCAGGCAGCTTGGCTACGACTCCGCTCTGGGGACGTGAAGCACCAACGGGAGGGACTTCTGGCAGAACCCAACACGGGCGCCAGCTCTGCCAGGCAGGGCCCACGGGGGCTGGGGGCAGCACTACACGGAGATCAGTCCCAGCGCAGGGTCCCTGAGGGTCTGGGCGCAAATGCTGTCCGGGGAACCCCCGAGCCACCCCCGGACACTGCAAGGACAGAAACAAAACAAGCACTGAACCAGGCAAGCACGCGCTAACAGGTAACAGGTGCAGGAGCCACGCGCCTGTGAGAATCCCTACACACACACACACACACACACACACACACACACACACACCAACTTAGTGTTTCATTTAGGAGACTGCGGGGAAATTCCTCTGCACCAGATGCGTGGCACAGAGAACACAGACACACACACCACGCGTGCACCGACACACACGCAGCTCATCTAATCACCCGTGGGCTGGGCGTTGGGCTTAGCAACCACGACGCCCCCATCCTCCACTGAGTGCCAGGGTTCGATGCCCGGCTGTGGCTTCTGACCCAAGCTTCCTGCACACGCAGACCCTGGGGAGCAACAGTGATGGCTCAAGCGACTGGGTCCTTGTCACCCACGTGGGAGGCCTGGATTGAACCCCTGGCTCCCAGCTCCAGCCCCAGCCCAGCCCTGGCTGCTCTCGACATTTAGGAAGTGAACGAGTGGACAAGAGCTCGCCCCCTCCCCATCTCCAAAATTAAAAATCCACCACTTACGGCTTCTACCCCTCAAAGAGTCTGACCAGCAGCTCCAGGGATGCACATTTAAGCCAGGGATGAAAGGCCATCAAAAGCCAGGGTTATCAAGAGCAAGGGTCTATTATTTTTTACCGTTATTAAAATGTACACCAATCTTATGGCAACTCAAAGCAATTGGCACACTTTTTCCAGTTTCTTAATCTCAACGGCACAAAAGGTGGGTTCTTTAACCAGTGCCGACCCACCCCCTGAGAATCGGTGATCAGGGTGCATAACCATTAAAGCCCCCTTTGTATGCCCTCCAACCACCCCCTCTCTGTCCCTCGCCAGACAAACCTGCCAATGTTTTCAGCTGAGAATAAAAGAGCCACTGAACACGAGGCCACAGCCAGGCTGACGCATGGAGGAAGGGCAGTGAAGGACAGGGACGAGGGGCCGCCCTGGGCCCGTCCTTCTGTGTGGTTCCCTGAGCTGCTTCCGGCACAGGAAGGGGGCTTCAGGCCGGGCTGGGAGCCTCCAGCTGGTGTCAGGGCCCGCAGGCTGAGACCCTGACCCCAGCAGGGGGCACCCCCGGAGCTCCAGGCTGCGGCTCTCACACCGCTCCCTACGGGCAGTCTCCACGTCATCCCACAGCGGCCAAGCAGGCCCCCTGCCCTCACCTGTACCAGCCCGGGGCCCCCACCCGCCAGCTCATCCAGGTCCCCTAGCACCTGGCTGCCTGTCTCGTGAACAGGACGCCCTTGGACCTGCTGAGCAGAGCTGCCGCCCGACCAGACTGAGAGCACAACAGGGATCCCTGCATACACGCACACACACACACACGCACGCACACACGGGTGTGGTCCAACACATGCAGGTGCCACACCTACTGCAGGAGCTCGGAGTGAGGGACAGCGTGGGTGGCGGTGCCACTGAACTTTGTGGCATTCGGATAGAGATGCTGAGCACAGACAAGCGGGGATCCTGCCAGGCGGCGGCTTCAATGGGGAAGGCCTGGGGGCCCAGGGAGCAGCCCGGGGGCGGGGCTAGGGGCGGGGCATGTAGTTAGTATCCTGGGATGGGGTTAGGGTCCTGGAGGCGGAGTTAGGAGCCCACGGGTGGGGTTAGGAGCAGGTGCCTCCTCTGGTGCCCTGTGGATGCCAGCTGTGTGGGAGCGCAGGCTGGGGAGTGGGGTTCAGGATCTGTTGGGGCTGGGGGCACCAGGTTTTGGCATGTTTCTCTCCGAAGGATGAGAACAACAGGCACACAGGTGGGTTTTACCCCTGTGAAAGGCGCTGGGCCCCAGCTGTGTCCTGGTGTCAACACGCTGAAGCTAAATGCTAACACTAACACAAGCATCCGGCTTCCAGGCGCACGAGGCGCAGAAAGCACGGGTCACCGTGGTCCCTAGGGCTGACGGCCTCAATTCCTTTCGGACAGACTCGTCGTTTCTTTCCAGATTTCAGAATGAAGGAGCTAACGAGGAGACGTCCTTCCCGCCGGGGGCTGTGAGCATCCCACAGGGCGCCAGGCGCTGCTCCAACCAGGACGCTTGTTCCAGGGCGGCCCTCGTGGGCTGCCAGCTCCTCACACGGAGAACTGCCGGGCAGGGCAGCAGAGCGGGGCCACCAGCGTCCACAGGTACAGCAGCACGCACATCCAGCACGAGGCCATCTTGACCCAGAAGATGGACCAGCTCCCGCTGAAGAACGACTCGATGTTGGCGCTTTCGTAGCTGCGGAGGCGAGAGACCGCGGTGGTCAGGGCGGGGCGGGGGTCTCTCACGAAGCGGCTCCTGCTCCTCCACCACTCAAGTGACTGACAATGCAGCCCCACTGGACCACTGCATTCAGTGGCGCCTGGGGTGTTCCCAGCCTTTGCACAGCCCTCACCCCCATCCCTTCCAGAACATTCTCAACACCCCACTGAGAGACCCTGAGCCCCCTTCCTCCTGTGCTCACTACGCGGGTTTTCGGTGGGTCGGCTGACGGTGGACGTCAAGGCCGGCTTCTTGGGGGCTACCTGCCGTCCTCACGGCGCCTCCAGGCCACTGCTTGGCAGCAGGGCCCAGCGACCCCGACATGGAGTGCTTGCCGGAGAAGCGTCTCAGGTGTGGGAGGACCCACAGCCCTGGTGCCAGGCAGCCCCGACCTGAAAGGCTCCAGGGTACCAACCCCGCGAGCGGGCGAGTGTCTGCGTGAGGGACTTGGCCTGGACTTGGCTCCTTTTCCCGGCTCAGCAACAGCTCACTGCGCACAGCGCCTTCTGCTGAGCCGCCACTCGGCCTGCCCCCCACCACGCCCGATCTGGGTCATCGCCTCCCCTGGCTTCCGTGGCTAACGCCGCTGTGGAGGTTGAGGGGCCAGCTCCCCTTGTCGTGGCACAGGTGCAGGCCTGGCATGGCGGGCCGACCCTGAAGCCCCACAGCTGACCGGGCGGAGCCCGCCGGCGGCTTCGAGGTGCGTCCTTGCCTGCCCCACCGCACCCCCTCCCTCGGCTCCTCCAGGAGGACGCTGGGCAGAATCTGCCCAGCCCCCACCCAGCAGGCCACCTCCCTCTGCCTCCCGATACTCAGCCCGGTCACTCGCTGGGCTGGACTCGGACCTGGGTCTCTCTGCCCCGGACTCTCACTTGGCTGCCGCGGACCAGGGCAGCACACAGGGAGGAGCGGCCGGAGGGCAGCACGAGGGCCACACTGCCTGCCCCGAGCGATCACACGCACGAGGCAGCTGGAGCCCTGCACCTGTGCGCGGAGCTGGGGCCGTGGGACGGGGACAGCCGACTAGGAAGAGACAATGTGTGGAATGACATGTGACAAAAAAATCACATGGCCCGGTCCATGCACACGAGAGGACAGACAGGAGTTTACTTTGCTACGTTTCATACTAACACGCTGTTTTTTCAAAGATGTCTCAAAGTTTTTAAATGAAAATGTGGGGCAAAATGGAAAAAAATAAAAACGTGCGGCAGGGGCTTTTCCTCCATTACTATGACTGGGCTCTGCAAACTGCTAGGGCTCAGAGCGCACACGCCAGCAGGCCGGTGCGACCTGAGCTGACCCAGGAGGTGCCACCGGCGCCCAGCCCTGGACAGCAGCCTGCCCCGGGAGCACTCACTTGAACCAGCTGGTGACGGTCATCATCACGTAGAGCGAGGCCAGCAGGAACACCAGGTGGAAGAAGGAGTAGCTGTAGACCGTGCCCTTCTTCTCGTCGTAAATGACCCGCGGCCCCTCCTTCACGCCGCCCTGCTCCTCGGTGTCTGCCAGGCAGAGGGGAGCGGGGCTCAGAGACGCCCACCCGCCAAGCCCGAGACGGGGCGAGCGCCCTGGGCGCCCCCCCAGCCCCCACCGCAGCAACCTCAGCCGCAGGTGTCTTAGCCGAGCCAGGGCAGAGCTGGCCCTTAGAAAGCATCACACACGGGCAGACGCGTGGTGGAGAAGCAGCGTGGAGAGAGGTCTGCTCTGGTGTATGGAGACAAGCGTACAAACGTGCGGGCGGGGACGGGCCATGCGCTGGTGAGGACGCCCAGCACCCCAGCACGCAGCTCTGAGGCCCCTGGTGTGATAAGCTCAGCAGGGGGCCACAGAGCCGCATGGGACCCTCCCTGCCAAAATGAGGTGTGGGAACCTCTTGGTATTTTGCAAATCATTTCTTCCCCAAAACGTCCTTTGTGCCTTCTCTCACTCTACAACTTAAATAGAAGGCAAAGTGCAGCCAGATCCTCCGCAGCCAAAGTCCAGCACGAAGCCCGCTGCCCCGAGGAAGATGGGGGGGGGCAGCTCGGGGACCCGGGGTGGATGCACGCTCCTTGTCCCCGGGAGCAGCGCCCGCAGGGCCACACAGCCACGAGACAAAGTCCTCCACTTACCCTTCCCGTCGGAGCCAAAGCAAAAGCAGCACCGGGCGACCTGCACGTGCAAAAGGGCGAGTCAGGTGCTGGTTCCACGCCCAGCAAGCAGGAGGCCACCACACCCGGGCCTGCCCGCCCACCCACCGGGCCACACGTGCATCCCCTCAACAGGCACCTGTTCCCTCTACGTGTGCTGCGAAACCCTGGGGACACAGAGGTGGCCACCGGATCCCCTCCAGTCACCAGGCAACGTTGCTGAGGGGCGGGTCCGAGAGGCCATGGAGGTGGCCTGGGGACTACAGCGCTGGCCTCCCCACCTGCACTGCCTGGCCACTTCACGGTGCCCAACCCGAGTGAACAGCCCGCACCACCAACTCTGCCACAGCACCTGCTGCTGGCGAGCTCAGCTTGAGACGCAGCGAACCCAAGCCGGGCCCCAGGCGGCCGCGTGCCGCACAGGCCCCTGCGTGCAACCCTCTTCAGCCGCAGAGGCTGGGGTCACCACCCTGCACTGTGGAGGACACGGAGGCCAGGCAGCTCAACACCTGAAGCCACTTTGCTAACCTAGTGACTGAGCAGGGCACACACATATGTCGGAGACCCCAAGAGCATGACAGGTGACGACCAGAGGACGGTGAAACCACAGAACTCGGGACCCACTTCCCACTAAGACCACTGCTGACCTGGCCGTGGACAGCATGGGCTGCTCCCTCTGTGGCCTCCGGCCCCTTCCCCATGCAAAGCAGCTTAACTGCTTAACTGTTCCTTTTTTTTTTTTTTTTCTGGACAGGTAAAGTTAGAGACAGTGAGAGAGAGAGACAGAGAGAGGTCTTCCTTCCGTTGGTTCACCCCCCAAATGGCCGCTATGGCCAGTGCTGCGCTGATCCGAAGCCAGGAGCCAGGTGCCTCCTCCTGGTCTCCCCTGCAGGTACAGGGGCCCAAGCACTTGGGCCATCCTCCACTGCCTTCCTGGGCCACAGCAGAGAACTGGACTGGAAGAGGAGCAACCGGGACTAGAACCTGGTGCCCATATGGGATGCCGGCACCACAGGCGGAGGATTAACCAAGTGGGCCACGGCGCCAGCCCCAAAACAGCTTAACTGTTAACAAGACCAGGCTGGGACCAACTGCCACATGACGCCAAAAGGACCCAGCTGACAGAGGGGTCTCTGTACCCAGAGAACCAGGGATGAAGGGGAGGGCGGGAGGGCCTTCATCCCACACGGGCACCTCCAGGCCAAGCCCGGTGTCCCTCCTGTGTGACAAGGACCCTGTCACGGAGGCCCAAGGCTCAGATCAATCATGAATCCCGGTGCTCGTCCTGGGGCCTGTGACAGGGGCAACCCCCCCCCCATTGCACCCCACGGCACGCCCTCCAGCTGCTCAGTCCCCCTGCAGACAGAAGCAGGCATCCTCGCTTTAACCTCCCGTGCACTCGCTGTTCTCTGAGCTTCAACTGGCTCACAAGATGGGCATTGATGCCACAGCCGGCCAGCCTCCGCAGGCGGCCTCTCGGCCAGCGCCGGGAACAAGGCCGGCCTTCTAGACCTTCCGGGGCCCACTCTATTCAAGTCCAGCAGTGACCAGGGAGCTGTGAGTGACGCTGGCAGCACCACCACCCTGTGCAATGGTTCACTGTCTGCAGGTCAGGTGCAGGGGACTGACCCCAGCCAGACACCAGGCTCTTTCATCCAGACAAAGCTACCACGACAGTGGAGGCCAGACGGCAGAAGGGCAGCAGGGGTTGGGCACGGCAGACGGGCTCCTGTGCAGCAGCGGGCGCGGCAGAGGCGGACAGACTGCACGGCTTCCCTCCTGGAAACCCAAACCCGCACCTTCTAGCAGCTTAACTTGTCTGGGCGTCCCTTCGGTCAACTGCAGGTAACAGCACCTCACTGGGTTTCCGGAGGACCAAACGAACTTGTACACGGGGAGTTCCAAAGAGACAAGGCACAGGGCAAGTGCAGCAGGTCCCGGCCCCACCAGAACCTGGGCCCCTGGGGCTGCAGGTCCCAGCCCCACCACAACACTGGGCCACTGGAGTAGCAGGTCCCAGCCCCACCACAACCCTGGGCCCATGGGGCTGCACGTCCCAGCCCCAAAACAACCTGGGCCCCTGGGGCTGCACGTCCCAGCCCCACCACAACCTCGGCCCCTGGAGCTGCACGTCCCAGCCCCACCAGAACCTGGGCCCCTGGAGTGGCATGTCCCAGCCCCACCACAACCCTGGGCCCCGGTGCTGCAGGTCCCAGCCCCACCACAACCCCGGGCCCCAGTACTGCACATCCCAGCCCCACCACAACCCCGGGCCCCAGTACTGCATGTCCCAGCCCCACCACAACCCCAGGCCCCGGTACTGCACGTCCCAGCCCCTCCAGAACCTGGGCCCTGGTACTGCACGTCCCAGCCCCACCACAACCCCGGGCCCCGGTACTGCACGTCCCAGCCCCTCCAGAACCTGGGCCCCTGGTGCTGCACATCCCAGCCCCTCCAGAACCTGGGCCCCGGTACTGCATGTCATGATAAACCCACACCCCACCTGAGCAAGAGGAGAGGGAAAGGAACTCACCTCCAGCTCCGGGGCCGCATACCGCCCCTGCAGGGCATCGGAACTTGATCTTGTTGTCGATGTCAAGCTAGGAGACAAACAGAGAGTCAGCAGGCGACAGCCGCTTACTGAGACAGCAGGAAGCTAAGGCAGTGGACTGCGTGCACTTGACACCCACAGAGGACACAGGCTGTGAAGCGTGGCTTGGGGGTGGTGGTGGTAAAACAAAGCATCTTCCTTGTGAACAAAACCAAAAGGCATGGAAACAGTTAGAGGCAGCAAAGGACTCCCAGCTAACTTCGCAGGCTCCCTTGTGTTTGCTGCAAGCCTGTGTCAGGGCTGTTCCAAGCACTGGGGACTTGGCCCCAAAAATGGGTCTGATTCTGCCCTCCTGCTTACGGGCTGGCCTGGAGATGGGCTGGCCTGGAGATGGGCTGGCCTGGAGATACGCTAGCCTGGAGATGGGCTAGCCTGGAGATGGGCTGGCCTGGAGATGGGCTGGCCTGGAGATGGGCTAGCCTGGAGATGGACTGGCCTGGAGATGGACTGGCCTGGAGATGGACTGGCCTGGAGATGGACTAGCCTGGAGATATGCTAGCCTGGAGATGGGCTGATCTGGAGATGGGCTGGCCTGGAGATGGGCTGATCTGGAGATGGGCTGGCCTGGAGATGGGCTGGTCTGGAGATGGGCTGGCCTGGAGATGGGCTGGCCTGGAGATGGGCTAGCCTGGAGATGGGCTGGTCTGGAGATGGGCTGGCCTGGAGATACGCTGGCCTGGAGATGGACTGGCCTGGAGATACGCTGGCCTGGAGATGGGCTGGTCTGGAAATGGGCTAGCCTAGAACCTGGTTAGCCTAGCGATGGGCTAGCCTGGCCTGGGAACAGGGTTGTGCTTAGAAGCTGGCCTGCCTGGAGGACTAACAGCAGCCAACAGTCTCCTGTCAGCCAAGGAGCCCCACGAGGCAGCCCGGCCTCTGCCCACTCTCTTCCTCCGTTCCAAGGAGACAGGAGACGGGGGAGGGACCGGTGCTCTGGTCAGCAGGCGAAGACGCTGCCTGTGGTGCCGGCATCCCTCTGGGCACCAGTTCGAGTCTTGGTTGTGCATGGCAAAGAAACAGAAGACGGCCAAGTCCCTGGGCCCCTGCACCCGTGTGGGAGACCTGGAAGAAGCTCCTGGCTCCTGGCTTCTGATCGGCGCAGCTCCAGCCGTTGCAGCCATGTGGGGAGTGAACCAGTGGATGGAAGACCTCTCTCTCTCTGCCTCTGTCTCTCTGTAACTTTGCCTTTCAAATAAATAAATAAATCTTTAAAAAAAAAAAAAAAGAGAGAGAGAGAGAGAGAGAGAGAGAGAGAGAGAGAGAGAGATGGAGGAGAAGCAGAGAGGCAATAAGAGCCCACCTCACAGAGCGCCCTGGGAAGCCAGCACCCAATGCCTGCCTCTCTGCTGTGAGCACGGGGTGCCACCCAGCCCCCCTCCACTGCCCGTCGGCAGCCTGGTCACAGGAACGGGGAGCCCCTACCCCACGGCGAGCGCCCTGGCTGCTCTGCTACCATCCAGCGTGCTGTCAATGCCCCTGGGAAGACAGCAGAAGATGGCCCAAATGCATGGGCCCCTGCACCCACGTGGGAGACCTGGATGGAGTTCCTGGCTCCAGCCTGGCCCAGCCCTGACCATCGTGGGCATCTGGGAAGTGAACCAATGGACAGAAGATCTCTCCCTCTGCCTCCCCTCCCTCTCCCCGCCCAACCCTGGTCAATATGCATGACAATAAAATTAAAAAAAAATTTTAAAGCTCTATCTATTAGAACTTTCAGCCTAGGAGAGTCTTATCCTCTACATTCGGGGTATTACAGAGCCCCAAATGCTTATGCTGCACCCCATGTGACTACAAAAGGGTTCCCGGGTTACCCATGACCCCCTCCCCTGAGGCAGTCCCAACGGGGCAACACAACGTTGCCTTTGCTGCCTTTGACGAGGACCCCAGAAGTCGTGACAACCAAAACACACCTCTCCTCATCCCGCCCACAAGCCGGTTCACACTGGCAGAGCGATGCCCGGTGTGGGAGCCCCTGGGGCTGCCTTCACTGTTCTGGGTCACAGAAAATTCGGGAAGCCTGGGCCTCTCTCCGCACCACAGAGCCCAGACGCGGCCTCCAGGCCCGCGCTCAGGACAGGCTCTCGGTACAAGTCCAGTCCTGTTCCCACTGTCCCACACACCAGTGACTCACGGCTCCCAAGGACACAGGGGAGGCCACATGTGCCCTGGTACAGGGCCGTGAGGGTCTCCACCTGGCGGGCTAGGCAGGGGCAGGCTTCCCAACACAGACACGAACCACCACCAAGAGCAGCGGGCCCAGAACACACTGCGAGAAGGAGCAGCCCCTCGATCTGCCAGCTTTCCTCCGTTAAGCCGGTCTCCCCCCAGCATCCACACCTGACTTCCACGGGTCCGCAGCGTCAGGCCAGGGGCCCTCAGGAGGAGCCCTCATTTGCCCAATTTGGTATTCACAAGAAATGCCAAGGCACGACCTCTCTTAGGCTCAACTAAAGCCGACAGCGCCAGGAAACAGCTCCAGCACCGGTGTCCTGCGCCGGCCTCTCCTGCCGCCTTGGAACAGGCCGCAGCCCAGCAGTGCCAGAATAACGGGGGGGGGGGGGGGGGGGCAAGCAGCCCCTCCCTGGGCTCCAGCAAAGGAGACTTGAGAGCCATAGGGAGGGGGCTACAGGGCAACATGGCCAGGAGGCCACCAAGGGCCCCCGTGGGGTCAGGCTGTCACTCCCTCACAGCAGCTGTGCCAGGACCAAGCCTGCCTTCCACCCTGACACAGAGACCCCCTCACGAAGGAAGCATTCCGGCATGGGGGGAGGGCTCACGGGCCTTGGTCCTTCCATGCCCTGCAAGAGAGACCCCACGCACTCGTGGCCTCGTGTGAAGGGTGGAGACCTTTCCCTTTAATCCACACGCTGCCCGCGGTCTCCACCGGGAATTCCGGACAGCCCTGTAATCTGGGTCAAGTGACATTCCCTGCAGACAGGGTGGCCCCTCCTGCACGGCCACCCTCTCATTTCCCGAGCCGGGGCAGACCGCCACCCCAGCAGTGCTTCCCTTCCGAGGCCCTGCGAAGTCTGAATTCCCTGTGAACTCGGGGCTGGGCTGTTGATAACCCACTCCACGCTGGCCCCTGACTGGCCACAGAGGGCAGGCGATTACAGTCCTTGGCCGCCCCCAGCCCACCCCATGCCTGCCTGTCTGCCGGCTGCCGCCCTGTGCTGGGTTCACCCCACCCCAGCAGTGCACTCTGGTCACTGGCAGTCACCACCCGCTGTGTTTGGACAGATTGAAGCAGCACCTGTCAGCACGGAAGACTGACAGCTCAGGGAGCGCTGGTGAGCCCCTGCCGGCCTCCAGGGGGCGCTGGTGAGCCCCTGCTGGCCTCCAGGGGGCACTAGTGAGCCCCTGCCGGCCTCCAGGGGGCGCTGGTGAGCCCCTGCCGACCTCCAGGGGGCGCTAGTGAGCCCCTGCCGGCCTCCAGGGGGCGCTAGTGAGCCCCTGCCGGCCTCCAGGGGGCGCTGGTGAGCCCCTGCCAGCCTCCATGGTGGGCCTCAGTCCGGGAGGCGAGGGCGGCTGGAAGGGGCTTTGCACCTGCTGGAGGCAGTGAAGATATAAAAGGGAGACGACAGCTCCAGCCAGTCCAGCGAGTGCACCTGCGGCCGCCGGACTTGGGGCACACTCAGAGCCCGATCTCGCGGAGAGGCAGGCGTCAGCGCCCCACAGCCACGTGGGATTTTACTCTGATCGCTGGCTCTCACAGTTTCCCCCAGTATCACAGAAGTGAAGAAGGGAGCTGCTGCTCGTGGCCTAGAACCAAACTCTTTTAAGGGAGAGGAAGAGGAGGATGAAGGTGTGAACCTCTGACCCCGGCCCAGTGCCGCGTTGGCTGCACCTTTTCCAGGGTCTCCCATGTGCACACCCGGCTGTATTTTATCCAAAAATGCAATCATCCTGTACACTCGGCTCAGTGTCGAACTCACTCCTCGCCTGATTTACAAACCCATTTTACCCGTCTGTGCCGAAGCCAACCGAGCCTGGGGTGCTACCCCATCCCCCACGGCCCCACGGCCCCAGACCCAGGGAGGGACACTTCCTTGGTGGCCTGGGTCTGAGTCCTGGCTCCACTCCCCATTAGAGCTTCCTCCTCATGCAGGTCCCATGAGGCAGCAGGTGGCGACTCATAACAGCTCCTTCTATCCACATGACAGACGTGGACTGAGCTCCGAGCACCCAGATTCGGGCTCCCATCAGCGAGTAGAGCTCTCTCTCCCTCTTTCTGTGTGCCTCCTGAATAGATAAAATAACAACGAAACGGGCAGTGCAGCAGACGATGGCAGCAGTCAGGACACAGCTCAGGACACGCATCCCACACTGCGGTGTCTGGGTTTGGGTTCCAGGTTCGCTTTCAAATCCAGCCTCCTGCTAACACACACCCTGGGAGGCAGCAGGTGACGGCTCAAGTACTTGGGTCCCTCCACCCACATGGAGACCTGGATGGAGTTCCTGGCTCCGGGCCTCTGGCTGGCCCAGCCCTGGCTATCACAGGCATCGGAAGAGGGAACCAACAGACAGGAAGTCTCTCTTGAACTCTCTCTGCCTTTCCAATTAATTAACTAATTAAAAGAGAAAAAAAAAAAAAAAAGAGGAAGGCAAGAGGAGCTAAGACTGAGGATTCCATAATTGGTGGTGTGATGGTTCCACTGAAAACCATCGTGGACTCAGGCTGGAATCCCCTTCACTGCCTCACACACAGTAGGAATGAATAAAAACCAAAGTGGTCACCAGGTCCCTTTCACCGCAACAAGGACACTCTGTCCTCTGTCATAGACAGGCTGAGAATGAACTGGATGCAGGACACCACCAGCTTAAATAGGGGTGACACAGGACACACACGCGCGCGCACACACGCACGCGCACACACACACACACATGCCAGCATCCAGTGGCCAAAGCACAGCACTGACCCTCAGCCTCTGTGTCTCTGTCCCCCCCCCCGACAGCTGGAGTTGTCGGAAGCTCTAAGAGAAAATGCTGCTGTCCTTACAAACTGTCGCAGCCAGGGCAGCTCAGTGTCTGCGAAGGGAAGATGACCAAGAGAAGCCGCGTTTCTTAGCCACTCAAACATGAGCAGAACACAAAACACCAAAGTGCACCTACAAGGAAAGGCTTCCAAGAGAGGCCAAGTTCCCAGTGAGACACACGCCCCGAAGCGGCGAGCGCTCCCTGCTCCTCTCTCTCCTCCTAACTTCTGCAAGGAGGGCACCCCCGCACCACGGCGGGGGCACGGCCGCTCGCACCTCACGCCGGCTGCCTGTGCAGTGGCACCACGGCCAGGGCAGGGACACCTGCTGTCCCTGCACCATGCGCAGAACGACCACAGCATGAAGCAGGGAGCTGGGTCCGAAGCCAGCGCCCTTGAGATGCTGGCGTTGCAAGAGGCAGCTTAACCCACTATGCCACTGCATCGCCTCTACCTGCATTTTATTTTTTATTGATTTATTTGAAGGAGTTACATAGAGAAGGGGAGGCAGAGAGAGAGGTCTTCCATCCGCTGGTTCACTTCCCCAATTGGCCACAATGGCCAGAGCTGCGCTGATCTGAAGCCAGGAACCAGGAGCTTCCGCCAGGTCTCCCACACAGGTGCAGCGGCCCAAGCACTTGGGCCATCCTCCACTGCTTTCCCAGGCCACAGCAGAGAGCTGGATCAGAGGTGGAGCAGCCTGAACTTGAACCAGCACCCATATGGGATGCCAGCACCGCAGGCGGCTTTACCCGCTATGCCGCAGCACCGGCCCCTTAGGTTTTTTATAAAATACATTTTCAGAGGCTTTCTTTGAAGATGTTCCCTTTGCATGATTTCAAACTTTTTTCACCAAAACAAACTTACCTTGGGTTCCACTCTCCATGGCTCTCTGAAGTCCCCACACACACGACTCGTCCTCATTTTACGCCTTTCGCCCTCCAGCAGTGCTGTGGCAACTCATACCCACCGGCCTCTCAGAAGACATGAGGCCACAGCGCTGCCACGTGCCACACATTCATTTTATGTGCCCCACGGCAACACCAGGAGGCACACAGAAGCCGACCCAGCCGGTCCACGCGGCGAGCTGCCTTCCCTCTCCCTCGCTCACTCTCGTTCTCCCACTCACTGCCTCACAGCTGCTGAGGACTCAGTTCCCGGACTCAGGCAACGCCCGGGACTCACCACGAGTACAGGATGCAGGCGATCAGGAGGCCGGTGCCCAGGCCGGTGACCAGGTTCTCGTCTCTGTACAGGTCCTGACCGAAGTCGGGGACGCAGATGGTAACATTCTTCCCGCGCTCATCCAGAACTTGTAAAGACAACAGCCAGTTAATCGCCGTGAAACCGGGCGGCCAGCGGTACCGCGCGGTCCCCTCCCTACCCGAGAGGAGAGGAGTCACCTCCCTGAGGCCCCTCAGAACAGGAACCCCCATACTGGAAACCCCCAGCCCCTCGGACCAAGGACCACTGCGACAGCGGCACACGTGGGAAACCACGCAGGGTGCCCGGCGCAGCTGCAGGGCTCGGCGGACCCAGAACATCGCAGTGAGCCTCTGCTCATCGGTACCAAGCCAACGACAGGGAAAGGGAAAGCCACGGACACTCTCAGTCAACCCCACAGCCCCCTAGCCTCGCCACAGTGTCACAACCCCCGCGAATCCCCAGGCTGCAGCCTGGGACCCGCTGGGAAGGGGAGGGGGTCTGGATTTTTTTTTAAAAAACTGCCAGGCTGAGGCCAGTTTTGTGGTGCAGCGGATGAGGCCACTACCTGCGGCGTCGGCATCCCATACAGGTGCTGGCTCAAGTCCTGTCTGCTCTACTTCCCATCCAGCTCCCTGCTAATGGCCGGGAAAGCAGTGGGAGATGGTCCAAGTGCTTGGGCTCTTGCCGCCTGTGTGGGAGACTGGGATGGAGTTCCTGGCTCCTGGCTTCGGCCTGCCCAGCCTCGCGGCCGCAGCCATGCAGAGGACAAGTCTGCGGATGGAAGACCTATTTCTGTCCTCCTCTCTAATTCTGCCTTCTGAATAAATAAGCCTTTAAAAAATTTGCAAGGCTACATAGAAAGGTTTCTGTGTTGTGACTATTAGCTGTCATTTACCTTCTGTGGAACAGGCAGAATTCAAACCTCCACACCCAAGCCAGGGCTGAGGGGGCCCACGCCCCAAACAAGGCAAGGGGAATGAAGGGGCCACCCAGACAGCAAGGCACAGACACGCCCAGCCCACGTGTGCGCAGCCACACAGAGACGACCACGGGGCTGTGCGCACAGGCTCTGAGGAGGCTTTGTTCTTAGGCCAGGGAGAACTCCAACAACACACACATTGCTGTCTAGGTGTGGCAGCATCTGCAATTACATGTAAACTCTTCCTGGGTTTCAGAGGTAAAAAAAGAAAAGCCGTAAACAAGACTCCGTTCAGTGAAACCAGAGGTTAGCGCCTAACAGAAATGCTAGCCGCAGCACCCTGCCTCCTTTTCGTCTCCTTTTAAGGGGTCCTGGTCACGTCCGTACTGTGGGGCACTGGGTGGTGGTTCACTACAGGCTCACAATATGCGAGGACCCGTCGGGGTCACTGGCACCCCTGTCACCTCTTGTTGGGAACCCTGAAAATGTCTTCTCTGAGCTACTCCGAAATGTTCCATTAATTGTCAACATAAAAGAAACTAAGAGACAAGATTAAATAAACATAAAAGTCAAGAGAGGTTTTTGTAAAATTAAATCCAGGGTGGACTTCATGCAAGACCTCCAACTGTATCACTTTTCCCTACAAACAGCTACGAAATGCCACCACAGAAGGTATGTGCATAGACTGTATCTTTCCAATTTATAGAGGCTTTGCTTTGTAAAGTTAAAAGACAAACAACTTCAATTGTCTATTTGAAAGAGGCAACACTTACTTAACTTGATTTACACAAGATTAAACATATACATATTTACAAATGCTTGTGTGTGTGTGTATCACACAGAAGATGGATAAAAATAAAGATGATAAAATATAATGAGGTTAGGAATAAAAATCTTAGGTTTATGGGTGCATTTTAACACCTTGATACAATCATGCTTTTATAGTTTAAAACATAGTATAAAAATCTCTTAGGGTTGGCGTAGTCGCACAGTGGGTTAAGCCACACTGGCACGCCCTCTCTGATTGTGGTTCAAGTCCCAGCTGCTCCGCTTCTGATCCAGCTCCCTGCTAATGCCACTGGAAAGCAGTGGACAATGCCTCGAGTCCCTGCCACCCACGTGGAAGACCAGGATGGACTGCCCAGCTCCTGGTTTCAGCTCGGCTCAGTCCCAGTTGTTGTCGTCATCTGGGGAGTGAACCAGCAGGTGGAAGCTTTGTCTGTCACTCTTCCTTTCAAGTAAGTAAATAAACCTTTTTAAAAAGAACACTCTTAAATAATCGCCACAGCTACTCTAGAATAACAGCTAAGTGCATGCCAGGGAATGTCGTAAGCCACACCCAGACACCCTGTCTCACTGAGTTTTCACAACACTCCCTAAAACAGGAACCTTCTAACTCAGTTACCATATTCAAGTAATAATCAGAATTCTAATATGAAAGAGGAAGGGCCCGTGTGTGGGTTCCCTGGGAGCAGAGCCCGGTGGCCGGGCACCCCCTGCCTCTGCGGCGTGCGTCAGTCAACTGCCAAAGGCAGTCGGCACCAGCGGCTGAGCTCCCACAGCCAGCAGATGCCCCCTCCCACTCGTGTGCTCTCCCACTTTCTCTGCTATTCTCACACAGAGCAGCAGCTGAAGAAAAACGAGGGACGGGTGTGTGGTGCAGCGGTTTGGTGAACCGTCAGGGTGCCTGGGTTCTGGTGCTGGCTGCTGCTTCCAGTCTCAGCTTCCCTCCGGTGCACACCCGGGGAGGCAGCAGGTGCCGGCTCAAGTACTCGCGTGAGTCGCTGCCATCCCAAGGGAGACCTGGGTAGCGTTCTAGGCTCCTGATATCAGCCTGGCCTGGCTGTGGGCATTTGTGGAACGAAGCAGCTGATGATGGGAGACCTTTGTCTGTCTCTGCTTTCGGGTAATTAAAAATAAGTAAATAATACTGTAAAAAAGAAATTAACCAATTTGAAGGAAACTAACAAAGCGAAAAAAAACTTCTCCTGGAATACACAGCGCAGCACATGTGCATTTAGGACTAAAAAGTCCTAAAAGGAGACCCAGGCAGCGGCCCGGTGCACGTCTGCCACCGGCAGAGGGCTCGGAGACATCCTCATGTCACAGCCCAGGCGTTCAAGACAAAGCCCAGAGCAGCTCCCTCCTGCTGCTGGCTGCATCCCTGGTGTCTACACAGCAGCTCCTTCCTCCACGAGGGACATGGTCACCCCACAGCCCCTCAGCCCCTCCCCGCCGGCCGGCTTACCGACTTCCACGGGCTTGCTGGTCAGCGCCGAGAAAGTGAGGTATGTGACATAGCAGCTTATGAGCCCCGACTGCAGCAGCCCGGAGTGCGGCTGTCCTGGAGGAGACGAGCGGAGGGGAGACGGCCTTTAACTCTCACGGCAAGCCAGCATGTGTCTTGAAACAGGTTCCCCTCCACCTCCCGGGCCACGCCCCCCAACTAGAGCGCCGGGAACAGTGGACGTGCGGTGCTTCTCAGACAAAACTGGAACGCCATTTGGGGACAGCGTCACAGCCCAGCCTGATTCTGCTGTTACATGGATGCCAACTTTGCCAAGTCAACACACACCTGTTCTCACATACTGCTGGGTTCCCTCGGCACCCGCGCTATGACATGAGCTCCTTTACTTGTTTTATTTTTATTTATTTATTGGACAGGCGGGAAGAGAGACAAAGAGCAAGCTCCAGTGCACTGGTTCAGCCCCCAGATGCCTGCAACAGTTGAGGCTGGGCTAGATCAAAGCTAGGAGCTAGGCACTCAGTCCCGGTTCCCACGTGGGCAGCAGGGACCCAGCTACGGGGCCAGCACCTGCTGCCTCCCTTCCTGCACGTTAGCAGGAAGCTGGAATCAGGAATCCCAGAAGCCAGTGCAGGACTCTGATATGGGGTGCAGTTCTCCGGGTCAGGACTTGAACCTCTAGGCCCAAATGCTGCCCCCACAAACACTTCCTGAAATGAGAGTATAAACAGCAATCAGAGACCAGCGCTGTGGTATACTGGGTTCAAGTCCCGGCTACTTTAACCCGGTTCCCTGCTAATGCACCTGGGAAGTGACAGAGATGGCCCCAGTGCTTGGGTCCCTGCATGTGGGAGACCCAGATGGAGCACCAGGATCCCAGCTTTGGACTGGCCCGGGCCCAGCCGTTGTGGCTATCTGGGGAGTGAACCAGTAGCTACAGGATCTCTCTTTCTCTTTGTCTCTCCCTCGCTCTCTAACTCAGCCAAATAAATACATACATACATACATACATACATAAATAAGGAGAGGAGAGGGGAGGGGAGGGGAGGGGAGGGGAGGGGAGGGGAGGGGAGGGGAGAGGAGAGGAGAGGAGCGAAGCAGAGCAATCTTTCGAGAAGCGTGTCCTAGTTCCATAGCTAGTGTGAGGAACCAGACTAGGGAGGGAACCCAGGAAACCAATGTAGGGTGGAGGTCTCTTTAACTGTGAGGCTCAACTGTAATATTAGTTCTTAAGTCACACGGTCAGGAAAAAGATTACCCTCACTACTTGTGAACAGCACAGCCCACTGTGGTAAGACAGACCTCAGGGAGCGTGAATTCTGAATTGCAAAGGGCCATGAGCCACCTCCCATCCACGGCCCGGCAGCAAAGCAGTTGTAGAGCAATGGAAAAGATGCCGGGAAAATGCCAGCATGCATGCAGGCTCAAAGGGAAGGGTTAAGGTTCCACATTCTCCCAGAGAGGAGCTTTTAAAGCCACAATGTTTCAATTACACTGAGTGGACCTAGCATCAGAGCTACCAGGATAGGAAGGAAGCAGCCTTTGTATTTTCTGTTGAAATGTTTTGCTGAAATTCCTGCCGGCAGGAAAGGATTCGATTTTACCCAGTCTTCCTTCTAATGGAATTTGTTTCCAGAATTATTATTAAATTAATTACTAACTGAAGTACAGGAATAGATCCTTTTATAACGTGGTTCTTTGACAAGGGACTAAGTCTTACTTTAGCAACTAATAGCAGCAAGCCAAATATGTCAAGCTTGTTACACCTGTTTCTAAAGGCAGGATCTAACAAAGGACAATCTAACTGAGCAGTTAAAGGGAATGGGAAAATAACACTATTAGCACTATGGATTTCAACAATGGTTTGCTTCTGGTTGCCTTTTTAAACCATTATTTTAGAAAGGACTCAAGGTGGGGGCGGCACTGTGGTTTAGCTGGTACAGCTGCTGCCTGCAGCGCTGGCATCCCACATAGGTGCCGGCTGGAGTCCCAGCTGTCTCACTTCTAATCCAACTCCCTGCTAATGTGCCTGGGAAAGCAGCGGAGGATGGCCCAAGTGCTTGGGTTCCTGCACCCCTGTGGGAGACCCGGAAGAAGCTCCTGACTTCGGTCTGGCCCAGCCCTGACCTTGCAGCCATTTGGGGATAAACCAGCAGGTGGAAGAGCTCTCTCCATCTCTTTCTCTCTACCTCCCCTTCTCTGTAACTGACTTTCATATAAATAATTTTTTTAAAAAAAAAAAGGACTCAAGGGGACTATGGACTTGCTACAATTTCCTTTCCCTTCTAAAAACCTGAATGTCACCCGTACTTCAACACCAAGGAGCATCAGACCCCGTGGGGAGCGTGTCGAGGACAATGGACACCTGTACTTTTTTTTTTTTTTTTTTTTTTTTGACAGGCTGAGTGGACAGTGAGAGAGAGAGACAGAGAGAAAGGTCTTCCTTTGCCGTTGGTTCACCCTCCAATGGCCGCCGCGGCCGGCGCGCTGCGGCCAGTGCACCGTGCTGATCCGATGGCAGGAGCCAGGTGCTTCTCCTGGTCTCCCATGGGGTGCAGGGCCCAAGCACCTGGGCCATCCTCCACTGCACTCCCGGGCCACAGCAGAGAGCTGGCCTGGAAGAGGGGCAACCGGGACAGAATCCGGCGCCCTGACCGGGACTAGAACCCGGTGTGCCGGCGCCGCAGGCAGAGGATTAGCCTAGTGAGCCGCGGCGCTGGCCACCTGTACTTTCTAAAGCACTTCTGAGCAAGGCCGGGCTCTCGGCTGTGCTGGCTGCACTAAGAACCGGGGCCTGAGGCAGGGGAGCCGCAGGCCGAGCCGTGGTGGGACTTCCTGCTTCCTGACTCCTTGACCACGCGGTCCATGGCCTTGGGTCAAAGATGGCAGCTGCTTCTGCAGCCCTGTCACTCGAGCTTCACACGGAGACGACGGGCAAGCTCAGAAACCCCACGCTGAGCACACACTCCACTCGGGGCGCTCCCGGTGGTGCGTGATTAGTGCCGGCAACGGCGGCCTCCCCGCACACCGCTTCCTTCCTCCAAGTCCCTTTAGCCGGGAGGCATGCGCAGCCTTCACAGGCAGCCCCGTGCGGCGGGGACAGGAGCCTGGTGTCCTGCCTGCCCCGTTGCTGCCACACACGAGGCAAACCCCGGAACAGGCCTGGTTTCCAGAAAAACCGCTGGGTTTGCTCAGCGACACTCGGCAGAATGGGAATGTGGAACAGCGGAGGAATGAAGAGCCGTGCTCACGTTTCTGGACGCAGGGAGAGATGGCGACCATGGAGATGAAGAGGCAGAGGCCTCCGTTGAGCCCCAGGAGGATCTTGTTTTCCATGCAGCCGTCCTTCTGTGTGTAAAACACGGCCATGAGGATCAAGCCCCCGGCGGCGACCGAGTACATGATGAGCGTCACCAGGGCCAGCGAGGCGTACCACAGCTTGTTGCTGGCCGTGCCTGCGTTCCTGTTTCTCCAGACACAGGGAGGAGGGGAGAGAGAACACCGGTCAGCGAGGCCACCTTCCCCTCGGGCTTGGCGGAGGCCGCCAGCCCCAGGCCACCGCGTCCGTGTGGTGCAGGGGGACCCAGCGTGTCAGCCTCTGCGGCAGAGCCAGATGGTGCTGGTTAACTCACAAACCTCTCGGATCGAGCTTGGGATTTTCCCTCCACACTTGAAGCATCCTATTGGTGACTCAGCGCCCGCCCTCATCCACTACAGTGAGGGGCCACAGGCTCCACTCCGGCTTCTCCATGCTGCAATGTGATGGGTGTGGGCCGCGCTACAGTGGCTCCCGGGGCCAGACCTTCAGCACAGAGGTTAAGGTGCTGTTACGACGCTCGCCTTCTACATTGGAGCACCTGGGTCTGACTCTAGTTCCTACTAACGCAGACCCTGGGGAGCAGCGGGTGAAGGCTCAGGCGGTTGGGTTCCACACGGGAGCCCTGGGTTCCATTCTGGGGTTGTTGTGGGCATCTGAGGGGCAGGACGAGGCCCACTCTCCCTCTATGTCCAGCACCATATAGCTGCATCTCAAATACTCAAACACGGCTCACGTACTTCAGGGATGGAGAAGTCGCTGTGGCCAGACAGGAAGGAATCAGGGAATACAGGCCACAATGAGGACCCCCCCCCGGCACCCGAGAGCCAGCCGGCGCGACGCGGCCACGGAACAGGTACGCGAAGGACACAGGAGAAAGACTCAGAGGGAGAAACCATCTGCCAGCCCGACGCTGGCCACCAACACGCCGACAGAAGGAGTTCCAGACACAGGGGCAGGACAAGGGGCCCTGCTTCTCCTCGCTACACCTCTGCATTCCATCACGGGTTCTTACAGAGCTAACTCGTGCTTGCTGTCCCGAAGCCACGGCTTCAGCACTAACCTTTGCCGCAACCCCAGACTGCTGCCAGCCGATGGTTTATTCACTCCACGTGGGTTACTCAGCATCCCAAAGCCAGCACGGCCTCCAAGCCTGCTCCTGTGCTACCTGTGCCCCCCACCCCGGCCCCGGCCCCGGCCCCCTTTCACACAGAACACACAGCAGCTCTCGATCCTCCCCCAGTTCAAGGCTCTCCAGCACCCTCCTGTCTCACTTAAAACCCAAAGCCTAGGGCGCTGTGGCACAGTGGGTTAAGCCGCCACCTGCAACGCCAGCATCCCACAGGAGCACCAGGTTCAAGTCCCAGCTGCTCTGCTTCCGATCCAGCTCCCTGCTGATGTGTCTGGGAAAGCAGTGGAAGATGGCCCGAGTGCTTGGGCTCCTGCCACCGTGTGGGAGACCAGCAGGAAGCGCCAGGCTCCTGGCTTTGGCCTGGCCCAGCCCTGGCTGTTGCAGTCATTTGGAGAGTGAACAGAGGACAGAAGACCTCCCTTTGCCTTTCTTATTTTTCTCTCTCTATAACTCTGCCTTTTAAATAAATAAATAAATCTTAAAAAAAAAAAAAAAACTAAAGGCTTTTCAATGCCCCCTCCCAAGGCCTTCAGGATGTGGCCTGGCCCGGCCTGTCCGGCTGCCAGCTGTGGCACAGCATGTTACAGTGCCAGCATCCCACATCCTAGTGCTGTCAGAATGCTGGCGGCTCAGCTTTGGACCCAAGTCCCTGTTACTGCACGCAGGAAGGCAATGGAGGGTGGTCCAGGTGCCTGGGCCCCTGCCACCCACACGGGATTCCAGGCAGAGCTCCTGGTCTCCTGACTTCAGGCTGGCCCAACCCCAACTGTTGCAGCCATTTGGGGAGTGAGCCAGCCGATAGAAGACCTCCTCCCTCCCTCCCTCTCTCCCTCTCTCTCTCTCCTTCTCCCTCTCTCCCTCTCCCTCTCCCTCTCTCCCTCTCTCCCTCTCTCCCTCTCTCCCTCTCCCCTCCCTCCCTCCCTCCCTCCCTCTGGCTGTCAACCAAATAAATCTATCTTTGGGGTGGGGAGGGAGATCTGGCCAGTGCTTAGTCTAGCTTAGTCAGAACTTCAGGCACACAAACCAACAATAAATATGTTGGCAGCAAGGATCTGCTGGGATTCAGGTCTCCAGGCTGGAGAACCGCGACAGCATTCCTTGCGGGGCAGAAGGTGTAGGGCAGTGGGTTAGGCCGCCACCTGGGACGCCTACAGCCCATACCGCAGAACCAGTTCACGTCTTGGGGACCCCACTTTCGAGTCGGCTCCATGCACAACCTAGGAGGCAGAAGGCGCTGGTTTAAGTGCTTGGGCCCCTGCCATCCACATGGGAGACCTGGACAGAGCTGAGGCTCCTGGCTTTGGCCTGGACCAGTCCTGGCTGCTGTGGGCATTTGGGGAGTGAACTAATGGATGGGCGCATGCAATCTCTCTCTCTTTCCATCTTCTGTTTCTCTCTCCCATTGCCAAGGTCTTGGGTCCTTCTCAGTGAGCAGTTTCTACGGCAATCAGAAGCTCCCAAAATACTTGCTGGAACCTGGAACTGATCATCAGACCCAGGAAGTGGCTTCATAGACGTCCATCAAAACATGGACGTCTGTGTTCAAGGAATGTGTTCTCCAGTGGGCCAACCAGAAACCCGCTATGAGAGATGCAAACATCTCAACGTGAGGTCCCCACTCGAAGGACATTCGCAAAAACCTGAGGACGGTTTCATAGTGAAGTTACATCACGAATTATCACAGAAAAAGTGGTACTTAGTCAACTGAAATCATCTGCACCTTGTCATGGGCACATCTTCTACACAGCTAAGAAAACAGGGTCGTGTGAAAGTACAACCACCCCGCCCCCGCCCACCCCCCACCCCCCCACACCCCCACCGGCTTCCTCTGCAAGAGCCCAGCTGCCCAGCTGCCTCGGACTCGAGCCCAGGGAGACCGCAGCGCAAACTGGGAGGTTCCAAGGACGACTCAGCATGCAGACAGCGCCCAACGCCCTGCACGACAGCGCCACTCACACTCGGGATCTGCGTCACTGCGGGGACCAAATTTGTTTTTTTGTTTGTTTGTTTTTTTGACAGACAGAGTGGACAGTGAGAGAGAGAGACAGAGAGAAAGGTCTTCCTTTTGCCGTTGGTTCACCCTCCAATGGCCGCCGCGGCCGGCGCGCTGCAGCCGGCGCACCGCGCTGATCCGATGGCAGGAGCCAGGTGCTTCTCCTGGTCTCCCATGGGGTGCAGGGCCCAAGCACCTGGGCCATCCTCCACTGCACTCCCTGGCCACAGCAAAGAGCTGGCCTGGAAGAGGGGCAACCGGGACAGAATCCCGCGCCCCAACCGGGACTAGAATCCGGTGTGCCGGCGCCGCGGCTCACTAGGCTAATCCTCCGCCTAGCGGCGCCAAGTTTTTAAAATCCCACGACCTCCTGCGGTGCGGCTCTGTGCTATGTAGGGCGCTGGGAACATTTTAGAAGAGGCTGCATTTGGCTGTATGAATTCAGTATTGCCAATAACAAAATGACGAACATCTTTTCTCTCATCAATATCATTCCCAATCATGACAACCGTATCTCATCACTTTCATCTTTTTTTCTTTTAAAGATTGATTGATTGATTTCAATGGCAGAGTTACAGAGAGAGGGAGAGACAGGGACGAGAGATCTTCTATCTGCTGGTTCACTCCCCAAATGGCTGCAATGGCTGGGTGGGGCTGGATCAGAAGAAGCCAGGAGCTTCATCTGGTCTTCACATGGGTGGGAGGGGCCCAAGCACCTGGGCTATCCTCCACTGCTTTCCCAGGTGCACTGGCAGGGAGCTGGACCTGAAGTGGAGCCGTCAGGACTTGAACCAGCGTTCATAAGGGATGTCTGTGTTGCAGGCAACGGCTTAACCCACTGTGCCACAACAACAGCCCCTTAGCACTTCATCTTTAATGTTACTTATTTATTTGTTTGTTTGCTTGTTTGAAAGGGAGAGAGAGAACTGTCCATGTGCTGGATCACTTCCCAAATGCCCACAACTGACGGGCTGGGGCAGCACCGTGAGCCCAAGACTCCATCCAGGTCTCCCATGTGGGTGGCAGGGACCCAAGTCCTCAGGCATCACCTGCCAGCTTCTAGAATGCACATCAGCAGGAAGCTGGACTGGAGGCGGGGGACCCAGGACCTGACCCGGGCACTGAAAACACAGAATGACCTGGGAACCACAAACAGCAGCTTGGCCGCCGCACGACACCTGCCTCTCTTTAAAACACGAAATGAAAATAAAACAACGACCAGAGCTGAAGAAAACATTCAGAACAAAAAGGACTGACAGACTTGGCCAGACTCGTTCAGTCCAGGATGAAAATAAAATTCACACTCCTACAGCGCTTTTCTTTTTAAAAAAAAAAAAATTCAGCATAAAATAAAACGATGTCTACAAAGCTACAAAGTCAGAAGCCTTACTGGGCACAGCAGTAAGTAAAGTGAGCGAGGCAGAGAATCACAAGAACCGGCCCCAGAGCTCCGCGGCCGGGCTGTCCCTCCCTCAGCGCGGCTCAGAGAAACCCACTGGGCCAGACTGCACAGACAGGTGCCGGTGACGGGGCTGAGCATGGCTCGCAGGTGCCGGTGACGGAGCTGAGCGCGGCTCGCGCAGGTGCTGGCTGGCAGCGCATGACCCAGAGGGCCCGGAGGAAGACTCGAGCGCAGGGAGGGAGGGTGGATGGACGGGAGAAGCCCACGGGAGCAGCATGAAGGGAAAGCGTCCCCGCGGCGGACTTGAAGCCGCGGCCGCTCGGCTGTCACCAAGGCACGTACCAGTTCTTGTTCCACTTGTGTGCGAACTCCACGATGAGCAGGAGCTGGATGAAGATAAAGATGAAGGCTCCGACGGCTCCCACGTAGCGCCAGGCTGCAAGAGACCCACCGCGGGTGGTGAGGCGCCCGCCCGTGTTTAGCTCATGGGAGTCCTCAGCACAGCTCACTACCACTGCCTGCCCACAGCACCTGCAACACGCTCAGGCCATGCAGCGATGCAACGCACAGGGTGGGCTCTACGCTCCCTGCCCTACACGCTCCCTGCCCTACAGACGGGGAAGGCTCAGGCCAGACAGACAAAGGCACAGCCAGGCAGAGGACACCAGCTGCACAGCGTCCACACTCAAACCAGACCCCCCAATAGACGCGGCGATTCCAGAAGCCTTCGAGGACCCACAGCGTAGAAGCCACAACAGCTGCCAGGACCAGCAAGTCTCAGATCGTATTGGGGGAGGGGTCACCAGAGTCCAGTGAGGAAAAGGATTTCCGACTTGGGCGGACCATGGCTCAGGGCTACTCCCGGCTGCGCCCCAAAGTCGCTAGGGCTGTGGCTAGACCACGTCGCGTGGCTCATGGCTCTCTATAAAAACTGCCCGGTGGCTCAGGGGACTGCCGGGACCCTGCTCACCCTAAGCATGCTGTTCCAACACAGGAATGTACCTCTGTGGGGAACAAGAGCCACCAGCCAGCGTGTTAGGCATGAGCAGAGCTTGGATCTAAAATCCTTAGGTAGCGTAGGAAAACCCAGCACGATCCTAAAGACGTAGCTGGACACTGACATGGACGGATCCGGGGCTAACAGCCGTTCCTCAGGGACACGAGGAGCACGCACCCGGGAGCTTCATCGGGAGAGTGAGTCTGGCTGGGTGCACAGCGCCCGAGCCACTGAAATCCAGCCTTCTCACACGAGGAAGGGCCCCGCGTCGGCTCCCATGGAAGCCTTTGTATTCAATGAGCTTTGGTAAAAACTCTATCAGTTAGGAATGGATGAGGATATTTCAAAAAGCTCACGGAAAATTGTATCACAAGATAACGTTCATTCTGAGGCAGGGTGACTTGGAAACCCACGCACGCTGGTCATTCGACGACCCACAGCTTCCTGCAAGGTGAGGTTAAAGCCAGACTGGGAGGCGCCCAGCTCATCCGTGAGAGCCGCAGCACATTTTAGTTGCTCAAAGCCTCGTGGTGCCCCCTGGACTGGCAGGGGTCCCTCAAGTTGGCAGCTTAGAACTGTCACATGGCCAGGGGCGTGAGCAGGCGGGGAGGACCCAGCGTGGGCAAGAGAGGCAGGAAATCCCCTAATGTGTAACATCAAAGGAAACCTGGACTATCTGGGTGAACCCTTCGCCAAGACAGCGAGTCCCGCTCGGTGCCCCAGAGCCCCGGTGAGTACCGTTAAGAAAGGTCTCCTGGTCGGGGATGAAGAAGGCGCCGGAGCACATGGCCCCCAGCAGCAGCAGCTTGAAGAACCAAAAGCTGCGAGGGAACAAGACAAGAGAGAGGAAAGGCATTTCAGTGCGATTCCGGGCAGGACAAGCCCCTGGGAGGCAGGCGGTGTCCTGCCCGACCCTGCCACTGGAGGCGCTGTCCCCAGATGGACAGGAGCTGAGGGACTGAAGACGCCCCCACCCCATCATTAGCCAGCCTCAGGCAGCCTCTGACCCTGCAGGGCTGAGGATGACCCGATGACCCAGGGAGGCCTCGCCCCAGGCGTGGTGACAAGCCCCCGCCCCCCAAACCAACTGCAGGAAGGGCAGGGAGCCTGCGGTGGGGTGGGGGGGGGGGGGCCAGAGGGGACCGTGGACCCACCCGTTGTGAATGTGGGCTCGGCAGCTTTTGCTGTTGCTGATGTTCAAGGTCAGGAGGCAGAAGAGGAAGAAGAAGCAGGCCATCCCGAAGCAGACTCTGTACACCGCCGAGTAGCCCACCAGCTTCTCGCACTTGTCGCCAGCACGGATTCCTTTGCAGATGTCCTCAAAGAAAGGGATCTGGGGAGAAAGGTTCAGGGCAGGCTGACCTGGGTCGTTCACTCGGCCTGCAAGGCTAAGACCCCCTGGGCAAATGGACCGCATGGGCAAGAGACCAAGAGGGAGGAGAACAGCACACAGCCCGCACCTCGCACTCGGCTGTCACCTACCCCGGAGGACTCCTGAAAGCCAGCAGCGGAACTTCCAAGCTACCTTTGCAATACAGGCACATGTTCTTCCTGACCTGCACCAGCGCACCTAACAGTCACAGCCTGGCAGGCAGTGAGTTCCGGTTAGTTCACATGTGCAAATGTATACAATGTATTATGTATATTGTACCTATACAATGTATCTATACAATGTATATAAGTGCATGTGCCACATATACCCAGAACACTCACATGCTCAGATGGCACTATAGACATAGATATACATTTTCCTATCTTTTCAATCAGTTAACTTTTTTTTTTTTTTTTAGCTTTTTAACTTTTCATTTCAGTCGCAAGGCCGATACACAGAGAAAAAGAGAGAGAGATTTTCCATATGCTAGTGCACTCCCCAAATGGTCTCAAGAGCCAGGGCTGGGCCAGGCCAAAACCAGCAGCCCAAAATGTGTTCTGGGTCTCCCACGTGGGTGGCAGGGACCCAAGAACTTGAGCCATGCCCTGCTGCCTCTCAGGGTGTGTACCAGCAGGGCGCTGGCCGGGCAGCGGAGCTGAGGCTGGAGTCAAGCCCTCTGTAGGGCATGCGGGCATCCAAGTGGTGTCTTCCTGCTGCACCACACCCACACCCACACACAGCCTCCTAAAATAAAATATGGTCCAGGCACCATGGCACAGCAGGGTAAGCTCCGTTTACACCTACATCCTGCATCAGAGCGCCTGTTTCAAATTCCAGCCACCCAGGCTTCTGATCCAGCCTCCTGCTGATACACCTGGGAGGCAGCAGATGAGCCCCTGCCACCCACGTGCGAGACCCTGTTGGAGCTCCTGGCTCCTTGCTTCAGCCCAGCCCAGCACAGGCTATTGCTGGCATTTGGGGAATGAACCAGCGAGCAGAAGATTTTTCTTTTCGAGGTCTCTCCCTCTCTCTCCCTCTGCCTTTCCAACATATCAGAGGCTATCTATAATCCTTTACTCAGTGAAAATCCCCGAGATGGGATTCTCAGGAAGGAAGGAGGCTACTTCAGCTCACAACTAGGAGGCTCACACCCAGGATCGGCAGCCCCAGGGGTGTCTGGCGGGGCCAGAGGATGGGGGACGAACAACCACCTGGCGAGCCAGGAAACAGAGGGAAAGGATTTGCAGGAGCCACCCTCCAGAGGGCAGGACCCCCAGGGGGCAGGACCCCTGGGCAGGACCCCCGAGGGCAGGATCCCCAGTGGGCAGGACCCCCGGAGGGCAGGACTCCCAGAGGGGAGGACCCCCAGTGGGCAGGACCCCCGGAGGGCAGGACCCTCCCGAGGGCAGGACCCCCCCCAGAGCAGAACCCCCAGAGGGCAGGACCCCCTGAGGGCAGAACCCCTGGAGGGCAGGACCCCAGAGGGCAGGACCCCCAGAGGGCAGGACCCCCGGAGGGCAGGACCCCCAGAGGGCAGGACCCCCGGAGGGCAGGACCCCCAGAGGGCAAGACCCCCGGAGGGCAGGACCCCCGGAGGGCAGGACCCCCAGAGGGCAGGACCCCCAGAGGGCAGGACCCCAGTGGGCAGGACCCCCAGTGGGCAGGACCCCCGGAGGGCAGGACCCCCGAGGGCAGGACCCCTGGAGGGCAGGACCCCCGGAGGGCAGGACCCCCGGAGGGCAAGCCCCCTGAACGGAACCACCAGCCCCCTCCCCCAGACAGGCCAAGTCCCCACCCTTATTCCACCAACTTTCCATTTACGGCTTGTAGTCTGGGGGCTCACAGTCCAAGATCAGTGGCACCACCAGTCTGGCCTCCGATGAAGGCAGAACACGTGCAGAGACGCAGGGAGCAAGCAGCTCTTCCTCCGCCCTCGGAGGGGTCTCACCTTAGAGCGGCACCGTGGCTCAGTGACGGGGGGCTCTCCCCCAGCTCCCAGTCCCATCTCCACCTCCGGACACCGCCCTGCAAGGCTCCACCCCCAATGCACCGTCACCAGCATTAACCCACTGGCCATTAGCATCTACTGAGTTTGAGCCGCTCCCACTAACATTAAGCCATGTGGGGCTTTACTAATATTTTTCTTTGCATGTAATGAAGCCAGCCTAATTCTCCATAGCTGTACATATAACCTTCTTCTCTTAAAGGAGTCAGAGCTCCTGATCTTTCTTTTTCTTGTCTTTTTTTTTTTTTTTTGGTCAAAGCAAGAAGTAAATATTTTAGAATTCTCCAATATATAAATACAGTGAGTAAAGTGTTTCCCATGGTCAAAAAAAGAAAAAAAGACAACGAGCTACATGGAGCTTTCCCTCCCAAGTACACAAACCACCACCTCGCCCTTTGTAACCGCCGTAGGGCACCTCGGTCAGGCCGGGGAGTCACTGCCACACGCCGATCCTATTACTTCTGTCCAGTGGCAGCTTTTGTGTCATTTGTACCTCTTGCTATCATTCAGCAAATGCTGCTGCGCACGCACACGGTTACATCATGCGTGTGCACATGGTTACATCATGCGTGTGTACACCGTTACATCACACATGTGTACACAGAAACATCATGCATGTGCACATGGTTACATCATGCGTGTGCACACGGTTACATCACACTGTGCTGTCATGTGGGTGGACTCCTGAGCTAGGAGACAGGCAGTGTCTACACTTTCAAGTTATAAAACCAAATCCCCCTTCAAAGGCTGCAGCAGCTTACATCCCAGTCCCACCAGGAACCTGAGACTCCCCCGTTCCTGCCTGACCGGCCAGTCTTCAGGAAGCCGAAACCCAGCACGCTGCTGGCACGTGCGTCCTCGTTGCTGGTGGAGCTCAGGATCTGTTCTCACGCTGCTGCCCTGCAACTCGACCCACTGGAGCCCGCCACGGGCTCCAATCTGGTCGATGTGACGCTGGTTTACCCAGTCCAATTACAAGGATTCAGTGGAGAATCTGCTCGCGTTAGCAGAATCATCAAATTCTTGCTCAGTGAGAACAGGCAGTGAAACCGGACCCTGCGAGCTAAGAAACGGAGACTCGAGACCCAGCACGACCTTGAGCTTCTACTGTGGAGCAGCAAGACACTTCACTGAGACTCCCAGACAGACGAGGCTGGACGTAGCCAGAACACGGGACACAGTGCCACGTGTGTCCCTGACTGCTGGCCACAGTCTCCCCTGCTGCTAAGGCTGCCATTCCTCCACCTGCAACGTGGGGATGGCATGGAGCTGGCCAGGCCGGCGCAGAAGCTGCCAGCACTCTCCTGCTGTTAACCAACACCCAGCTGCGCCCCTTGCTCCCTCCCTGGGTAGGGACTCAGAGCCCGCACGGCTGAAGGCCCTGGCGACCCTGGCTCCGCCTTCTGATGCAAAACTCTTTCTTATCAACATCAAAGTTGAATAATCTTCAGGACAGAACAGAAAGTTAGAAAATCACGTTACAGTTGCCATTCACAAGACCAACGCTGGCAGTTTTCAAACAGGGCTCAGAGCTGAAGGGTGCTAAAGAGCTCGGTTTCGTCTTCAGAAAGTCTTAAAGAAACAGTAACAACGGAGGCAGCCAGGGCTCCCGGGACCCCGCAGGCACAGGAAGAGGGGCTCGACTGCCCACCCCACACAGTCAGGGCCATCACCGCATCTGCTTCCCACACACTGCCGCGAAGTGGCTCAGGCACGAAGGCCATTTCTGAAGGTGAGGCTGTCACGGAGGCAAGTCCAATGCCTGGCTTCCAGCAAATCCCTAAAACCGCAGATCCTACACCCAAGCAAGACGTAGAGGACCAAGGAGGCCCGTTTCTATAGCTGGGCCACTGGAGGGGAGTAAGATCTCTCGGGCCAGGAACACTCCCCTGACTGCTCTTGAGAGTGCTAGCTATTCAGGGGGACCGTACGCAGAAGCAGGGAACACAGCCTTCCTCTCCGAGACGCGCACTCTGCCAAGGACAGGGGCCCTTCACTGAACTGCTCCCCGGGACCGTCCACACGGGACACAGCCTGCAGTGGGCAGGCAGCTCCTGGCGCCCGCTGCACTGAGTGGCACACGCTGTGCAGGGTGCCTTGGTGGGCGCATCCGAGCTCTGAGCTCCATTGTGAAGCCTCTGTGGGCTTCCCCGACACACAGAGGTCCCGGAGCGCTGGGTGGGAAAGGCTGAGCCTGCCTGCCCTACCACACCCCACGCTGCCTGCGCCTGTGCCGACTGCACACAAATAGCGGGTGACTGCTTCCGTCCAGCAGCAGCTAGCGCAGCGCCTGGGACACGCCCAGACCGCATGTGTCTCAACAGGACACACTTACACTGGGACAGCTCTGCCTTGGCAACAGCTGAGGCCTCAGGGCACGCCAGGTCTCTGGCTCAGCACTGTGGCGAGGAGGACATAGAACCGGAGCTGCCACCTGGGCGCACGGTGGCCACAGCCACACCTGAGGCGGGAAGGCAGGGGTGAAGGCGCTGGCAGGGGGTGCAGCTTGGCGCGTGGGGGCACCCTGCTTGCTCTCCGTCCTGCAGGGTGGAGGGGCACGGCGGGTGAGGAACAACAGGCAGGCACTTCCTTCCCGCGTCTGGCCTGGAGTGGGCGCCACGCAGGGCGGAGGACAGTATGCGTCCTGATGGGACCCAACTCCCAGTGTGTTAGAATGGAGTTCAGCTCTTGTTTCCCTCCCTTCTCTCTTCCACTCCATCAGCTTCACTAACTCCTGTCTGCACCCCTCACCCCCAAGCACCTGCACCTCACCCAGGACCTGGGGTGCAAGCGCCAGACACCCTCAGGGCCCAGACTCCCAGCCCCTTCTGTGTCTGAAAGGGTCCTCGCCAGGTGTAGTGACTGCAAATTGCAAATCCACCACTTGCTAAAGTTAGTCCCTGAAAATACGAAGTGGTGCCGCCGGCCCCGCACGGCTCTCATCATGGGACTCACG